GTGTTCGTCTTTTTATATGGATCTGTTCTTTACTTGAATTGTACTTGGTAATGCGTACGTTATGTAAAACATATAAAAACGTATAGCCATAGGGCTGTATCTATTTATCCAGCTATTCTAATAGCTAACAAAAGAATCTGAATTGAATATGTTTCATTTTAGATAACAAATTATTTAAACTGTGTTAAGACTATATCAAGATATCGTTCAGAAGATCTTCAATTAGCTTTTCTTATATGAAATAATATTTAGTTTTTAAGCATTTTAAACAAAAACTAGCTAAAGGAAATTTCGAAAATTCTGAGAAATTCTATTTGTATATATATATTTATATATATATAAACAACAGCATTAAAAAATGATTTAGTTTGATTCCCAAAAATTTGAATAAGGTTTTCTCTAGATGGGGTATGTGATACAATTAATACACACCCAAATTTATATACATAAGTCAGATATATGTATGCATACACACACTCCACTCCATATTTTTGACCCATTTTTTAAAGCGTAAATCGGCCGATCATTGCGCCCATCGCGTATAGCAATAAAACTGCTAATCGCATTTGTTTAGTTGGAAATCTAAAACTGATAAAGTTTGAATTTTTTTATTTTGTCATGCTCCCCACAATCTGCCACCCACTCTACCTTTCTCTCCTCCGCTCTCTCACGCACGTTGTTTTTAGTTGTTTTTTTTTTTTTKTTGCTTTTGCGTTCTCGTTGCTCTGTTTCGCTGTATATTTTGTGTGTTTTGATTTCAACACGACACGAATAACAATTAGAAGAGAAATATAACAAAATCTCGAGTCGACTGGTTGCTCTGATGCCGCTGCGTCTGCCACGCCCACGCCCATACTGACACGCTGCCGCCGCCGCCGCCACCTCGTTGATGTTGCGTTGTTGTTGCGGTTTTGTTCAGTTACAAAGAAAAGTAAAAGAAAAAAAAAAAGGCAAAAAGAAAATATGATTACGTATAAATAAGAGATAAAAGTATCTATAGCATAGCATCCTCTTGAGACAGTTTTGGGCTGCGTGTCAGGAGTGCATTTGCACTGAAAAATTCTGAAGCTTGTAAATGCACTATCTGGTACGACATTCCAGAACGTACAATCTTCCCGAATGCAACAACTAAATGCTGAAACAATATATATGCAATTTTTGTGAATAATGTGACTTGCCAATATGCCAATATATATAAAT